AACTTCAGCTACATCTTGCTTAACAAGTTGTTATTGTAGCATGCAGGGTCAAAACAAATTAATTAATGGGAAAAAAGGATGGACATGAAGTAAAGAGGGAGATGTGTTAGATTTAGTGGAATTTTGAGAGGGTAATTAGGTGGTGAATATGATCAAAACATTGTATATGTTTGTGAATTCATAAAATAATATATTAAGTAATTTAAAAATGAACAAGAAAATTTTAAAATTTAAACTATATCTATATTATATGTGGTAAGACAAACTGTTATAATTATTGTACTATTCCAAGGATTTTGATGACTCATGGAAGATACTGTTCTGCATTATGGAAAATGATTTAATAGCATGAAAGTAATACAAAGAAGGCTTAGACATGATACATATTAAGTGTAATGAATAACATGAATGCAAAAGTGGTTTTTGTTCTGTTTCATTTGGTTGATTTCATTTTGAGACTATTTAAATTGGTGTGTATAAGAGAGTCATAATCAGAAAATCTGTAGATTTAATGTGAGATTTATTGGCATGTGGCATGTTTTTTTAATGTGCCAATGTCTTAAGAGAAATAGTAACAATTGAACACATTACCTGATGTCGTTCACAAGATGAATATCTTAGTTAACATTGCTATTTGGCCAAAGCAACCTGGGGAGGAAAAGGTTTATTTGGCTTATGCTTCAACATCACTGATCATGACTGAAAGAAGTTAGAACAGGACCTCAAACAGGGCTGGCATCTGGAAGCAGGAGCTGATGTAGAGGCCTTGGAGGAGTGCTCCTTAAGGGCTTATTCTCCTGGGTTGCCCGACCTGCTGCTGCTTCTTTTCTTTTCTTTTTTTTTTTTTTGGTGTGTGTGTGTGTGTGTGTGTGTGTGTGTGTGTGTGTGTGTGTGTGCGCATGTGTGTGTGTGTGTGTGTTTAGAGACAGGGTTTCGCTGTGTAGCTTTGGAGCCTGTCCTGGATCTAGCTCTGTAGACCAGGCTGGCCTCGAACTCACAGAGATCCTCCTGCCTCTGCCTCCTGAGTTCTGGAATCAAAGGCACGTGCCCCCACTGCCCAGCGCCCCACCTGTGTCTTATACAACCCAGGACCAACAGCCCAGGGGTGGCATGATTCACTATGGGCTGGGTCTTCCTCCATCAACCACTAATTAGAAAATGACTGACCTTGTGGGGGCCCACCTGTGTCTTATACAACCCAGGACCAACAGCCCAGGGGTGGCGTGATTCACTATGGGCTGGGTCTTCCTCCATCAACCACTAATTAGAAAATGACTGACCTTGTGGGGGCAATTTCTCAACTGAAGCTCCTCTCTCTCAAGTGGCTCTAGTTTGTGTCAAGTTGACATAGAAATTACTCATCAGAGTGAATTTATGGAAAGCAAAATTTAATATTTTGTGACCAATGTACCCAAACATTGTTACCACTTACTTGAAATTCATTGTAATTACTGTATGCTTTTAAGTGGTGGAGTCAAAGAAAAGAGGATTTTTGAAATGCCAGTCCTCTGGTTTCAGGCAGATTAGGAGAGAATGAAATTTTTCCATTCTTTATAACTTTCATTGGGTTTCCAGCCAGTGTTGCCTCTATCTATTATAACGTCAAGTCTTTAGATGGGGTTCCTTCACTTTCTATCTTCTCTGCTTTATGAAGCTGAGGTTCTGAATGAAAAGGGCATGTGTTCTAATGGAATTCTCTCCTGAGGCACATCAAGTCATTTTATACAATGACACACTAAGAAAGGCAATCTATGATGTGTGACTGACTCTAATGCGACTTTTCCATCATTTCATTTGTTTTCCATTAGCCGGGAAAAAAAAGAAGACATAGGAACTACATAGAATTTTTTTCTTGCACTCCATAGGGGTTTTCTAGTATATTAGAATTCTGCTGGAATACAGTTTTTCATAAAGCTTATGGAGAAATGCACGGTTAGAAACACTTTTTAACTTTCAGTCTCTACTTGGAATCTTCAAACATTCTTGAAAGTAACTATGTATTTTTAATTCCAAATGCCTCTTAAACTATTTTTGAAGATGATTGTTTTGCTATGACATTAATCAATGCTTTCAAGCATATTTTTTTGTCGCACAAACTTCATAAACCATTATAGTTCAATTTAAATAAAATAAACTTAAAGATAATAGCCCTGATTATAAACATTAAATTGAAAACACTATTTTCAATTACAGTTTTTCCTCTGGTTATTGAATAAACTATCTATTGCAGACATGCAAATATGTTGTTGTCATAAAAATGCCATATGATATGAGATAACTGTACAATGTATATAACCTCTTGAGCGTAGCTAGGGATTTGTCTTCTTAATGTATTGCCTTTGTTATATTCCTTTCTCAATCCTAAGCTTCACACCAATTTCTTTGCTATTATTTTAATTCAATCAGGAAGCCAATTCTTCTGCCTTATTGTCTCTCTGCTCTCCACTTGTCTCGTTCAGATTTCTTCTCATTATTGGGAATATACTCAATGATTCAGCACATGCATTGAGTGCAATGATTCATTTTGATTCTCTAAATACAGAATTTTTTTTCAGGAACAGATAAGTAATAGCCTTAAATGAATGTGATGTAGAAGGATAAAAACACAATAATTGTTTGTTTAATAAGAAGTTTTATGATTCATATTGCATCTGGTAATAAAATTACATATCAATAGAAAAATCAATGTAAAAGGAAAAAAACAAATGATTTTCAGATAGTGGAAATTCTTGTGTTCTTTAATGATATATATCAATATGTGCTGCATTTAAAATGTCAATCATTAATGCTGATATTGCTTATATTATCTTAAAATAAGAGAATAAATGAGGTAGAGGGCAAAATGATTTGTATAGATTATTGAATTCATTTTAGACAGGGTATGAAATGTAATAAAAAAAAGCAAGAGAAAATATGATCACATATTAAATACTGTTATAGTAATATTATATTGCATTATATCATAAAATATCAGTGATAATGGGTATCTGAGGCAAAAATCAGAACTGTGAGTCAGACTGGATATTTCAAAACAAATAGAAGGAAAGAGTAGGAGATCTGTGATTTAAGAAAAAAAAAGCACAGTCAGCCAGTCAGGCAGTGATGGTACACACCTTTAATCCCAGCACTGTACGGGGAAGTAGAGGCAGGCAGATCTCTATGAGTAGGAGGGCAGCCTGGTCTACAGAATGAGTTCCAGGACAGCCAGAGCTACACAGAGAAATCCTGTCTCCAAAAATAAAATAACAAAACAAAGCAGAACAAAAAAAGCATAGTCACTTAAAAAGTTAAAAGTAGTGTTCTGTGTGACTTTTTCTGGGGATATGTAGGTCTCTATTCATACCTGGTGACCATCCAAATAATAGTTCTATCAGTGTCTAACTTGGTGAGATGAGTTTACTGGGATTAATTAGAGGTGAGTGGCTGAGGGGTTACTTAACAGCTGCATCACCAAAATACTCATCCCAGCATAGGTAAGAACTCAGGTGCATTCTTGGAGCTCCCTGGAAAATTTCAGGCCAATCATCTGGTCCATTTTATTCTCCCTATCAGTCCATATTGTTGATGTAAACTTGGGTAGGAGTTTTGTGAATTGCCTATTGAGAAAATGACTTCATCTAGATTCCCTGTAGGTAAGTCTTGGGGGCATTTTCTTAATTAATGATTATTGTAAGAGGCCCAGTCTACTGCTAATGTTGTCACCTCTGGTCAGGTGGTCCTCATCTGTGTAAAAAAGCAGACTGAGCAAGTCGGGGGAGCTAGCTAAGAAACTGCACTCTTCTATGTCCTCTGCTTCTGTTCCTGCCTTGACTTTCCTCCATGTTAGAATATTGTCTAAGAGTTGTAAGCTGTAGTAAACCCTTTTCTACTCAAATTGCTTGTGGGCATAAAGTTTTACCACAGCAATCAAAGCCCTAGCGAAGACTGTCACCTCATCAGAACACCATTAGCATAACAACTTGTACAGATTTCCTTGATATTATGGCAATAAATTTATGAACTACCTTTGGAAAAGGAGAAGAAACATTCAGGCAGTTGTCATTTAGTATATGGTAGCAGGATAAAAGACTCTGAGACCAGAGGGCACGACATACAAGCTATCAATTGGTGTATGGAGCAGGAACTGGACGATGAAGTAGACAGTAGACGACACTCAATCAAAGAGAAGGAACAGTACTGAAGCTTCTTTTCTGATACACACATCACTGTTTTGTTATAAGGTCCCAATGGTGTGCTGAGGTGGAAGACAGAATATACGGAAGCTCTGAGATTGGAGACTGTATCCATCAATCCATTGACACATCCATGAAGTAAGTGATCAGGAATGGACATGAGGACCAGGCAATTTACAGCCAATACAGGCTTCTGTCTTTTGATTTTTAAGAAAATCTATGTATAAGTCTGTAGCTAGAGTTTTTCTGACCCTGCCTGGCCCATGGTCAGGACAAATCTCTCTCACCCAGTCCTGCAGCCGCTCAGACCCAACCAAATAAACACACAGAGACTTGTATTGCTTACAAACTGTATGGCCATGGCAGGCTTCTTGTTATCTAGTTCTTCTATCTTAAATTAACCTATTTATATTAATCTATAAGTTGCCATGTGGCTCGTGGCTTACCAGTACCTTACATCTGGCTTTTCATGGTGGCAGCGTCTCTCTGACTCATCAAGGATAAATTCTGCAGTCTCAATATATAATACCACTCTTTCAGCATACTGAGAGTCAGTAACTATGTTGAGAGGTTCTGAAAAATCCATTAATACCAACAGAATAGCATAAATGTTTAAGTAGTACACTCATTTCACATGAAAGAGGCTCTATGCATCACATGGCCTGTCCCAATAAAAAACAGACATTAGAATGCCATTTTAGCAGTTACAATATTGATATGATCAATATAGCTAATTTTTATACCCATCATATATTGTCATATGCCATCCATATGTAAGAAGCAAAGGACAAAGGCTGTTTTTTGTTTTTTGTTTGTTTATGTGCCAACTTCAAAATGACATACTAACCAGACATCAGCATTCAAAGGCTAGGTTGAACAGTACTGACCTTGATGCACATGCAGTGGATTTGTTTTAAGAATATAAAATTAAATGGTGATGTCAGCAGTATTACTACTGTTTCTATATTTATGATTAATTACTAACAGTACAACTCCCAGAAGGAAGGAGATGGATCCAATAGTGATGTAAGCAATTCCCAAAAATGGATTTTTTCCTCCCATCCTTGAAATAGTGCTCAATATCATCCATTTTCGTCCATCAAAAGAAAGTACGGGGTAATTGTATGTGATGTTCAAATAGTACTGTCCCACTGGTATTGTTGTATGTAAATCATTTCTCCACTCTATAAAACAATACAACTTACAAAATGTAGGTAACCCTGCAGTATGCATCCAAACAATTAAATCCTCATTTATAAATCCATTATTATCTTCATCAGGATCTAGCATAAATACTGGTTTATGCCAGTTTACTGGCTTTGTTGTATCTTTAAATCTTTCTTCAAGGCTTTCTTTTCCAGGTGGATTTCTGAATATCACATTTTTATCTGTCCATCAAACAATACCTTTTCTCGTCAAAGCAATTGGCATAGGTGTGGGATCAGATTCATTGGCAACAAGAAACAATTCTAATGTATCATTAAACATGCTATTGGCAATAGCTCCGCATGGAGCAATTGGTTTGTCTTCATTTCTTCGATAAGGTTCACATTCCTTACTTGGATTAATCAAAGTACTAGGGTCTCCATTTAACTGGCTATCATCTTGAGATTTCACATAGCGACGATGATTTTGGTAGAAATTAGACAGTCCATAATACATAAACACATTGCCCTCAAATGACTGTTCCAGTGTGAAGTTAATGGTACAAACACAAGATGTCACATTTGGAGACAAACATTGATTGCAGGGCCTGGAAGGTTCTGTTCCAGTGTCACATTTCAGTACAAATGAAATATCACCATATAAGTCAGTGTGCTATACTTCAGAAAGTATAGGATATTCGTTGGAATGTCATGGACTAATAAACAAGGACAATAACTTCAAAACGATCAACATTATTGAAAGCTTATAAAACTAATGAAAGTACACAAAACAGTGAAAAGTATTCTATTTCCAATACTGTTTTCATTTGACAAAGAAAATTTGATGCAAAAAACACATTTCAAAAGTAATATTTTCAGTCTTTTTTTTAAAATGAAAGTGTTTATTGCCCATGATTTTCTTAATAAGAATTCAATTAGTTAAATGCTGTTTTTAATTTGAGATCTTTAGGGATTTTTAGCTATTTCACAACAACCCTCTGCCTCATATCATCACTGTGCTCACTGTCCAAGGCTAATATGGTCTTGGAGCTTAGAAGCCTCTTGTCTTCGTTAGGGTTTCTACTGCTGTGAGGAGACACCATAACCACTGCAACTCTTATAAAAAGATATTTAACTGGGGTAGCTCACGTACAGTGTCAGAGGTTCAGTCAATTATCATCATGATGGGAGCATGGCAGCATACAGGCATACATGGTGCTGGAGAAGTAGCTGAGCATCTTACATCATGCAGGCAATAGGAAATGGTCTGAGTCACCACCGGGTGGTATCCTGAGCATAGGAAACCTCAAAGCCCACCTCCACAGGGACACACTTCCTCCAACAAGGCTATACCCACTCCAACAAAGCCATACTTCCTAATCCTGCTACTCCTTATGAGATTATGGGGGCCAATTATGTTCACACTACCACACCTGTCACTGTATTACTATGTTATTGGCCTTCCAACACTGTTAATCTGATTTAATTGGAACAGGCCTTTAATATGATTTATCCTTTTATTTTGTGTTCAGCTGTAGCCCATTTTGAAATCTATATCCATCATAGACTACAGCTTGTTAGCAAATTAAACACTTTTCTAGGAGACATCCATGAACAGTAAGCATAGTTGATCCTCACTGATGCTGGAACTCCTGTAAAGTGAAACAGACTCAGCACACTGAAGCAGCTCTGCTCCAACTCTGTTCAGGTGAAACAGAACCTGCCTGGCTACCACTGCTGATGGAAGAGAATCTGTGGAAAGATGGACAGTGATTCACATGAGAACAGCATCTTGAGTCTGTCAGTTGACTCCAGGTGAGACAGGCACTTTGGGAGTAAAAGCCTATACTAACATATCTCCGAAGTATACTTTCCTTTTTAGCATCTAATACTTCACGATGAAAGTTTAGCATGTCCATGGGCTTTTCTGCCCACCCTTTTAACTTCTTAAGCCTATGTTCTATGACCTTAAATTAAGCATGCCAAATAATATATCTTCCATCTCTCTTATTTGAAGTATGGCACTTATTTGCACATGCCTAGAAATGTTCTCACTCTTTAATTGCTTTCCTCTTTGAATATATAATCCACCTTCAGGAGTCCCATGCTTCCTTGCTTAAAGAGTATTGGTTTGTAAACATCTTCTAAGCTTTCCTTATTTGCTACTGGCATTAAATCTTTCTGCCCCCCTTTTTTTTTGTTTGTTTGTTTATTGGCCATGCTCACTTAGGTTTTGTGCACATCAAACAGGAACTCATTGCTTACGGGTAAAAACTATATTCAATGAGTCTTATTTAATCTAGTAATTTAGAAATCCATTATGATTACATTGAAGAAATATATTTTATCTTTACTGAGGTCTTTTTCTTTGCTTGTTTGGTTGATTAGTTGGTCTGGAAATGCTGACACCATTGCTTTATTTATGCTACTGTCCCTGAAATATGTGCATGAATAATGATTTGGGGGAGTCAAATATTTCTTCTAAGATCTCTACCCTCCTTTAAGTGGAAATCATACAGTAATATGCCTACTTAATATGTTTCTGGATTCTTGGAAGTGACAAGATTTTAAGCATAACTAGTTTGTATAACTGAGAAATAAAATTGGAAAAAAAGATACACAAGGATAACCACAGTAAGAGAATGGTGCTGAATGTTGAGATACCTTCATTTTGCTTCTTTGCAGATTTCAGTGAGTCTATGGTAACTGAAAAGATTGTTTTACATGCATGATGTTCTTAGTAAAACCCTTGACAGCGTTATCCATGCAAAATACACAAACTAGAACAAAATGCTACAGGAGACACATGAATAGATGGAAGGGGAAATTACTCTGACAAAAGGAGGAATGGGAATATTAACTATGACTTATGATAACTATTCGCCTTTGCTATGTGGTCATTCACAATCGATGCTCCTCTTACCTTCCCATTGTCTGTTCATTGCTTCATTTTCAGTAAGTTCTAGACGTTTTGAAACACCTGCCCTGTTGTTTTATGTAACCATACTTGTTATAAGAAACTCAAATTCCTGAAATAAACCCTTGACCCCTTCTGTAGCCTTTCTCCAGGTTAGCTTCTAATTATCCACCTAATGTCAGCTTTTTGTGCCTGTCACCTTGTTGACTTGATCCCATTGTAACCTATAATGAGTTTCTAACCTTCAGTTTTAAGAGTTTTTTTCCCTTGTCTGTTCACCTTATGTGGCTACAAAAACCAAGCAGGGTATTGTGTTAGTAATTATGTAACTCTATATAGTAGGACTCAAAAATGGGCAAATGTATAACTTAGATAAAAAGGTTTTTTTTTCCATTTGAGGAATTCTTAAAATTATAATTATTAACAAATCACTGAAAGATGATATATGGCAGGCATTCTTATAATGAGATTTGACATAGACAAAAATGTACAGTTCATTACTGTATAGTTCACATTCCCATTAAAGTGCTACAATGTATAATTTTCTTATAATTTACAATAGAGTAGCTTACTTTTATATGGAAATTAAGAAAATAACGTATAGGACTTTGAAATATTAAGCTGGGACATTTGCAAGGACAATGAAAGAGTTCATTTGCCAACACTTCTCAAATAAATATGTAGAGGAACTCCAGAGCAAAGGGACTGTTATTGGTGGCTGAATGCCTTGAGGGGTGCATGCATAATATGGTTTCAATAGCCTGCACTGACTTTCACATGACCTACAGTTTCCCTGTGAGTGCTTTATGTAAATGCGCTTCCCATGCCTATGATGTTTTCTACTGTATTAGAGGTAGACACAGGGATTTTTCAATTACATATTTACAGTGTGATAGACACAGACTTTAAACAAGTCCCAAGGACACATTTATTATAGGGTTTATTTTACACACTTTTGTATTTCTTTATTTGCTTCGAGGTTTCATTTTTCTCCCTGTTTCCTTTTTAATAATTAGTGGAGTAAAAAGAATATGATGAAATGATGGTGATACTAAGCTTAGGTGGGCTATTTTTAAGGCTTCCTTTATCCTTGCTGGAGAATAGAGCAAGTAGGGGTTAACATTAGGGGTCATTATCTATTGTGTTTACAAATGTAATTAGAAATCATTTGGTTTTATTTAAATAAGCACATCTCTAACTTTAAGCTGAAATTTCATTTCTCAAGCAAGAGTCTGATTTTGTTGGGAGACTATGCCTGTCTCCTACTGTGTCCTACTCCTACTTGCAGCCCTCTGAGGCCCACACATGATACATGGACACTTGAAATCGGAATCGCCTGGAATGTTTCTGGGGAGATGACTCAATGGTTAAAGTGCTTGCCAGGCAAACAAGGAGGCAAAAGTTCAGAGCTCAGAATCCATGTAAACACTGGATGAGTTCTGGAGCAAGCTGGCCAGAGCAAGCCGTCATGTCTTAGGTTCTGCCTTCAATTGAAAGACTGTGACTGAAGGGATAGAGAGGGGAAATAGTGATCAAAGAGGAGTCATGGCATCAAGTCTCTGACTCCTTATCCACTGCACACTGCCTAGACACACACACGTGCTATCACATTTAGATATGTGTACACAGGCCACAAATGCACAGGGAAGAAGGTTGGAATAACTTCCCCAAATGTTGGATTTTGTTTACAGTCTATTTTATAATAATTAAATGACAACATCCAAATTTTGCTTGCAGGGAACTGCATGCCATTGTAACTGGGAACTACTGGTCTTCTACATATTGACAGCAGTTCAGTAACTAACTCTTGATTTGAGTGGTCCTTGCTCATGACAAAAACAGTTAGCACTTCTTTTCAAGAAAACGTCAGTGATATGATTATAACACTATCCTGTAATAATGACAATTCGTTATAACAACTGGTAACATTTTCAAAACTGTATAAAGGGAGTCCCATAAATTTATTACATTTTTATGTTAAATTTCAAATACTATCAAACAATAGCAATGCTCCCATGTACCTGGTACACAGGCCCAAATATCACTGCACAGTACTATAGAAAGGCAGAATAGAGATACTGGGTTTTCCATTAAGATACTATGGCTACAAATAAAAGTCAGCAGTAAAACACAGTCTTAAAGCAAGGAAATTGTTATGACTGGTTTTGCTTCCTCTAAGATGCCCAGGACTGAACTCTTCCTGCCAGAAGACAGTGTCTCATCTCATGTGCAGTTATTTCTGCTAGACTAGAGGAGCAGGTTCTGAATTAGTCAGGCCCCACCACTCTGGAACCTGAGAAAAGTCTTCTGCTTTCCCCACATTGACATAGAAGGTCTGTCAGAATCAAACTTCCCTAACAGCATTGACGAACTTGCTGAATCATCCCTTTGGCTTTTTTGTTTTATCTGAAACAAGCTCCCCAAACAGAGTCCCTAAACTTCTTGGCACCTAAGAATTGCTATGGCTCACTGACGAGGTAAGCTTTATTTAATTTTCCCACTATCTTTATGTTACCTGGCTTAAGGAATGGTGGGTCTTTTTCTTGCTCTGAATTATCACTTTTAGACCATCCAGTGACACAACCATTGAGATGAAATACAAGGTTTAGAGACAGATTTTGTATCAATCTGTTGATGAAATTTCATACCTTCCAATCAGTGCCTCTGAGGAAATGCATCTGGCTTACCAATCACCATTGCTTGCCATGACTTAAGGAATTAGGCTTTCTCCACAACTCTGGTTTATCAGTGATTTCATTGCTTCATTTCCAGCAATCATGCTGTCTTTTCACAGCAGTCAACCACTACTATCCTATTATATGTAGACAGTACTATACATATATGTCTCCTAAAAATGTGATTACCTATCTGAGCACCACAGATTAAAGCTGTATAACAAAAACAGCAGATACAACAGAAAGTTTGCAAAGTCATAGAAACTGAACAATGCACTATTGAATGAAGGAGTCAAACAGAAATTAAGAAAGAAACTAAGAACTTTTTTAATTGAAAGAAAATGAAATCACAAATATACCCAAACCTATGGGTTACAATGAAGGTGGTTCTAAAAGGAAAGTTCATAGCATTAAGTGCTTACATAAAAAAATGGACAGATTTAATATTAACTACTTTAGGCATGACTCAAATCTCCAGAACGAAGAAAAAAAATAGTGTCCCAAAGGAGTAAATGGCAAGAAATAATCAAAATCAGGCTTGAAATCAAGAAAATAAAAATAATAATCAAAAAACAATATCAAGAATCTATGGAAGAATTTGTTATTTGAAAAATCAATGGCATTAATAAACTCTTATCCAAATAAACTAGGTGATATACTGATATTTTATTTGTACTAAAATGTGATTTGTATGTTAATAAATAAAGTTGCCCAGGGGTCAGAACTATTAGAGGCATAGCAAAAGCTGGGCAGTGGTGGTGTGTAGCTAGAGTTTTCCTGCCTGGCCCACAGTCAGGACAAATCTCTCTCACCCGCCAGTCCCAAGCCGCTCAAACCCGATCAAATAAACACAGAGACTTATATTGGTTTCAAACTGTATGGCCGTGGCAGGCTTCTTGCTAACTGTTCTTACAGCTTAATCCATTTCTATTAATCTATACCTTGCCACGTGGCTTGTGGCTTACCGGTACTTTACATCTTCCTTGTCCTGATGGCGGCTGGCAGTGTCTCTCTCTCAGCCTTCCACTTCCCAGCTCTATTCTCCTCCTTGTCCCGCCTATACTTCCTGCCTGGCCACGGCCAATCAGTGATTTATTCATTGACCAATCAGCAACACATTTGACATACAGACCATCCCACAGCACCTCCCCTTTTCTTTTCTTAAAAAGGAAGGTTTTAACCTTTACACATCTCCAAAGTCAGCTTGGTATATTTGGGAATTTGGGCGTAGCTTCTCTTACTACTTCCTGCTGGAGGGGGGCGCTGTATCTTATGGGGAAACAGAAAATTTTAGGATCATGGAGTAGTCCGTGAGGCTGTATCGTCT